TATATATAGATATATATATATATATACAATATATAGCTATATATACATAGAAATATAGAATTATTGAACATATACATATATATTAATATATATATATATATATATATATGTATATGTATATGTGTGTGTGTCTATAAATACGTATATGTGTGTGTTCTTATGCGTGTATTGAGCAACAAGTGACCGGATTATCATACATTGGCAAAAAGACGTAAAGTCTCATGTAGGCGAGTATAACTGCAGTGTTTTGTATATAGAAGTATGGCTAGAGATTGATACACTTGAGTGAATTCCACCAACGGGCCCCGCGTAGTTTGTCTAGCCATCGAAGCCTTTAGGTAGTAACTAAAAGGTCACGCAAAGGGGATAAAGCATACACCACATAGAAATACTGGAGTGCAGGACAATACATGTGACAGTTGTAGTGCCGTACCACATAGCTACAGTGTCGTGCGGACAATAGTGACTATCATACATGTATATGTTATTTAAAAACGTACACTATATATAGAAATTGGAGAGTACGAGAGTACGACATCGTATGTGATTGGTTAAAGTGTCGCGCGGACAATAGTGACCATACCATATTTAGAAACGAACTCTATATATAGAAATCGGAGTGTATGACATTGTCTGTGATTGGCTAAATTGTCGTACGACCAATAGAACTGCCAATTATGTGTATAATAATGTAAGTATTGGCTGTACATTCGTACGGCCGGAAGTGACTGGCAATCATGTAAATGCTTTCTGAAATCATACCGCATACTATATATATATATGATGATTGAGTGAATGACATTCCACGTGGCAGGTGCAGTGTCGTGAGTTCTAGATAGTGTAGAAATGATTAGTTGTATACACTACCAAAAAAATCACATATCGTGATTGTCTTGAACATCGTATGGCCAATAATGATTTCTAACTCATGGTAGCGGACACTGGATATGGCATCTGAAGTGTACGGCATTTTATGTAGGCTGAGGTGTTATACGGCCAACAGGAACATAAAAGGTAAAAGCAATATCGGTACACCCAGATACGACCCCTGCGATATTATAGTTGTCACCAATAAGCAACTAACAAGTTAACTCTGCTTCATGAAGACATGCACAAGACATGCATCGTGTGCATGTACAGATCTGACCCTCAATATCGTGACACAGTCACTGGGCTGAAGCTGATAGGTACAGCCCTGGTTTTACCTGTATACACATCTCATACAGTGTATGATAATTCTGCTCGTAGAGTATTATATCATGTTAGCTGTTCTGTCAGTCCGCCATTATCCACGCGCAGAAATTCTCTTGAAAACGGCAGATAAGAGCCACAACAACATACAAGCAACTACAACGGCTGTGCGGATATTGACACGTACGCATATGCTTGTGCTGGCGTACATGTTGATTACTTTATATGTATTTCGCGTGTATATTATATGATGTGCGTGTGGTCATTGATCTGTACTTGCCTGTCATCTGAGTGTTTCAATTCACCCTCCATCTCATCATCGTCCACAAAGATCAGACTGTGGCTCAGCTGCACATCCTCCCAGAGATGGATCTCTAACGAGAAACTGCTGTTAATGGCCGCTTGGATGTCCTCAAAGCACTAGGATAAGCATTGATACAAATATATTTGGCATGAGGAAGTATGCCATATGTCCTGCAGACGGATTCCTATCGAAAATCTGTCGTTAATAGTTGCTTAGATGCCCTTAAACCACTAGGATAAGCTTAGCACAAATATTAGACTAGAGGAAATATGTAATATATCCCGCAAAAGGATCTCTACCGAGAAATGGCTGGCCGGGTGAATGTCCTCGAAGCACTACGATCGGTACTAACAAATAAAGTACTCGACATTTCATTTATATGTTAACAAACGAGTTTGCAATGTATTGGAACTATGTGGCAGACATTTCAATTACTTCATAAATGGTGCTGCGAAAGCCAGGCCAGATTTGAGATGTAGCCAAAACAGAAACGTATGGCTTCTCCCCTGTTGGACTTCGAACACTCGATTGATTGCTGATCGATAGCGTTTTGGATAGTGTGTGGTATTCCAATGAAAATATATTTGTCACCATGTGGTTTCTGCTAGTCATGACACACTACGAAATCATGAGTATCAGCCCCCATGATGGAAGGTATGGCGATGTCACATAGTCACCAATATTATCGTACTAACTGAGTATCCGTTCTACTGATGCCGATCACTGGTGTCACTTATTCGCAAAGATAGAGTTACTGCGAGAAACCCTTAGTAACTGCTGTCAGACAGCAAAATTCGATACATCTCACGTCTGTGGGTAGTTACTTTTCTACGACCACGACTCGCATGTATGTTCTCTCTACCCTATTATAGGCGTAGTGCTGCAATGGGTAGGAGTTATCTAGAAATGATTCTCAAGTAGCCATATCGGCAAGGCGTGACTTACGAGCACGCATATATAATAAGGTAAAAGCAGATCACTTATCTATCGAAAGCAGAGAAAAACGTACGGATGCGAACTAAGTAGAGACGTGGGGTCTTCTCTTGGGACATAGGTTAAATACATCATTGTTAAAAATACAAATATAAAAACGGATATCGATCTATAAGATTACGTATGTGTTTAACAAGTCTTTATAGAGTTTCTCCCGTGCGAAGGCTTGCAAGTGACGGTCTTATACTATAGACGTAGATCCTTGTAATCACGGGATATTTGCTGAGAATCAGTCGTTAGCGAAGGTATGAATGATACTTTATATCAGGAATTGATGCGTTGCATATTGAACGGATGTATGTGAGCAATTTAAGCTGTAGACTTCACATACAGGATTTAGCGAGGGCATTAACTGGAACGCCGAACTTTGCATTTTGCAGTATTCTGCAATTGTCATGACAATTGGATATCTCTGGTGCTCGCATTGACCTGATGTATAATACAGATACTGCTATCACATACATACAGTCACTACACGTACAAACTTCACAGTAGCCCAAAACAATCCCAGACTCTCCGACAAATACACCGGTAAGTATAAGTGGTATTCAACACCACATGGGTAGTCTAATATTATTATACGTAACATACCATATCCCCCACTGACGCTACACAAATAGACGTCCTATTCGCAGGAGGATTGCAGGCCGCAGCTTCGCAATTTATTATCCAGAGGCTACTGATACAGCAAACAAACAGCAATATGGTCCATAATGAAATACGATAGCCTAACATCGTCGTGGGTACGTTGATTACTTGAATTATCCTTTATATTCCATATTCTTCAATATTAAACGCAACTCGATCTTATCATGGCAGTATATTAACATTAGTTAGTTGTAACCTTTGCATGTGGCATATTTACATGCATACTTACTTACGTACGTATTCATATTCAATATTTAGTTATAAATATCAGTGGTATCAGGTATGTCTGTTGTTCAGATTGCTTTAATTTTTTACAGGAATCTGTGAGAGACGATGGGACTGAAGAGCTCACCTCATTACGTTTTACGCTATAACGTATATATTTTACGATTTCAATTAACGTTTACTGAATCTCTATTAAAGGTGCAATACTTGGGTTCTGAGGCGCAATGTACCAGTATTATATATCTCTATAGTCCATTTATACTAATGTTGAAAATATAAAACCATACACGTTGCTCTCAACGTAAAAGAAGTGCGTTTGAGGCTTGCTCTGGACAGTCTGGAGTCTGGAGACTCAGAAGAGCAGGTGTAATAATTTTTTAAATGTTGTTATTTTTTTTATATACAAAAACAAAATACACAAAAGTACATACTAAAATAAACAGCCTTCTAAACTAAACAAGGCTATGTAAAATACATATTCACACATGCTTAGTTTATTTTTGTTTTTTTCTAAAATTTAAAAAATTAGATTCCAGGGGTCTTGTCTTCCTCAGGGTGGGATGGTGGGTGTTTCTTCTTTCTGGGGCTTCTGGGGGTTGTATCTGAGAAGTGATGTCGCACTCTGATCCCTGTAGTCCTTATATATTCGGACGGGGTCACATTTTTGGTTTTTTGGTCCGGCTTGTAGGACTGGGTCTTGTGTTCGGATTATTTCTAAAAAAACCCCCCAGAAGACCTGTCCGGCACTTTTAGAGCTATTAAAAACATTATGTTTTTCATTGAAAAAATATTTGTAAATGCTGTACATAGAGGTGAATATTATGAGAAGGGCCGCTTTTTTTTCAACACTTAAAATTTGTTGTAAATACCTCATTATATTTTTATAGCCCTCTTTGAATTCTTTAGACACGGAAACCATAGCCTCCCTTCAACATTGTTTTTTAAGGGCAATGCATCATGAAGCCAAGCATGAACGCACTAAATATTTACATTTTCTATTTTTACCTGATGATGACCAAACTGTTACTTAAATAAGCAACCGCACTAACATGAGCCCGAAATCGTAGATTACTTGTTCACACTTTTTGATCGTGGTACGAGACGACGTAAGAATACACCTAGACAATCACAATCGTCCACTACAGGGCACCGCTGTACGCAATAAATATGAGACATTGCTGTGGACCCACAAGTGAACAAAAAGTCCAACTCAGGCCCCCTACTAATACCACTTAAAGCAAAAATATCTCGCACGCACGCACAGCGTTGTAGAATTGTAGTATATAGCAGCCAAGGGCATCCGATTTATGCTTCCTAGCGTTTGATATCATTTGGCGTTCAAGCTGCCACCACTTACGATTGGGTTTCATTTAGACACTCCGCCACTCGTATGTATCCGAATAAAGGTTTGATTTACGAGCATGTGGTTATAAACATTAACCCATACCGTCTAACTGGACAGAACAGTATAGCGAACATCTTTCAATCTAAAAGACCCATACGATGGTAAGTTTTCACTGTGCGGCACTCGCCTGCACCTGCAAGTTCGTCAGTAAACATTGTCCATTTTGAGGATTATTCTAACGAAAATAGCTAATCCTGTTACTTAGTCGTGTGATGAGAGGCGCGTGGTCGCAGGGCGGGAGGGGGAGTGTTACTAACCCAAAAGCCAGCAATATGACTACATGTTCGATATTCGAATAGCGAAGCACATCGAACAGATTCGTATGCAGTTGAGACGCCTCCCATTGAGCGGTATCTGTCTACTGCCACATGTCTACTGTCATATGTAGGAAACTAAGCGAGTTGTTCAATCGCACTTGGCAATTCGATGACTCTGTCACAAGAGAATTTGAGCTTTCAAGCGAGTGTGCACGGAGTGTGTGCATGTATTCATACTTCTTTGCTTCCAGATTGCCACCACACACAAGCACCGTATTGATCGCGTAACAACCCTAACCTTACAACCCCTCGTGTGCAGAAGTGCGAATATATAACACCATACTCCCCTAACTCACACGCCTACCTAGTAATCCTGTACCTATACACCATTCTTCTTGGCCTCGACCTCTAACCGCCTCTCAATAGCTGTCAATCTCTCACTGAACCGATCCATACTCGCCCTCATCGCCTCTAAATTATCCGCTTCTCTCTCGCGCACGACTATCTCCCTCAGTCTCAGCTCGTAATCAAGTTCCACAGCTCTATTCCGGAGTGCACGGTCTTCCTGCCGTTCAACTATCTCTTCAGCAAAGCGCTGCTGCACATCCCACCTACTCGTGTCGAACATGTGTTCGAGTAAATCGCGCTCAGCCTTCCTGTCAGTATACTTGCGTTCGTTCGCATCGTATTCATTCTCGGTACTTTTCCTTCGTGCAAATCTGCCACTATCACCACCCAAGTCTTCATTTATAGCCCTGTCAGAGGGACTATGTACCACACTAATCCGGCCCCCATCCCGATACACCTCTGATCGCCCTGTATTGTCTGAATTGTTTTCCCTCACCTTGGCAGCTGTACACCTCATGCGCTTCTCCTCTCGTCGATCACCCGCATAGGCTATGTCCCCATGAGCACCTCTACTGTTCTTGGCATGACTGCCGTGGTCACCCCGGTCGCCATAACAACTTACAGCACTTATAGCACCTGCTTGACCTGCCTTCTTACTGCCACCACTCGGTGAGTGCGAGTGCGAGTGCCATACTAGATTCAGGTTCGAGCCCTGCCTTTCAACTTGTTCATGGGGTTGGTCCTGTGCTTGTGCCTGTGCTTGTACTTGTGTGTGTGAGCTTGTAGGCACGTATGCGTATGCATGTGCGTGTAGGTGCGGTCTGCGGCGCTTTGCCGACTTCTTTCTCCTTGTACCGCCCACTATGGTTGTCAAGGGAGCGTTCTTCCCAAACGGTTTGCGAGACGCTGACGGGGCAGGGTTCAACTGCGTGCTATGCTCACTCTCCTCCGCCCCTTCTTCTCTCCCCATATAGTTCTCACTCGAGCTTGGTATGCCTCTATCCGCACTACCGCCAGCCTGTTCCATATGTCCGTCGTCTATTCTATAGTCCCCAGTGGGTTATATGTTATGGCATACTGTTGTTGGTAATAGTATATGCAATTCGACAGTCTCTTGATAAATACATTCAAAATTTCATGAACCTGGTTGTTGGTAATAGTATATGTAATTCGACAATAAATACATTCAAAATTTCATGAACGTGCTGAATGAATACTTCATACCCATTGGCCAGAAAGATTTTGAATTAAATACAAATTTACAACCGCCGGCAGTGGTGTATTTATTTATGTACGATATCAGCGATCAGTTAAAAATATATATATTACAAAAAAAAAAGTAAGCAAAAACGAAAATAAATGTAGTTTGTACGTACCGAACTTCTTTTTAGTTGTCAAAACAACCATTTGTCAGCTGTCAATTGCCCGGACTGATCTGACATACATAGTTCACCTTGTGTGTAGTCAGCTGCCGGTCAGATAAAAAAATGCAGAATACAGCCCCACACTTTCAATATAACTGCTACAGACAAGCACACGAATATGAAGTTCGATAACGTAGTCACAACAACATATTCAAACTGTGTGATCGTGGCACGCGACAATGCAACAATCTAATACGGCCAGAGCAACCAAAGTCATCTACCATACGACATCCCCCCCCTAAGATTGGATACTTTAGAGTTACAGTCCATCAAGTACTCGATAAATTCGAGAATAAAATATTGCTGTGGACCTTGAAGTGAACAACGCAGTCAAACTAAGGGTTGCTACCAAGACCATTTAGAGCGTAAACCAACTCATCAGCACACTTATTGTAGTACATAGCAGTCAAGGGCATCCTATTAATGCGTCCTGGCATTTGATTATCAATTGGCGTCCAAACTACCATCACTTAAAATTGGTTTTCATCCAGACACTCCGCCACTCGCAGGTATCGAAATAAAGCTATCCTGGGAGGGGGGGGGCAATATTTTTGGTTGACGAGCTTGTGGTTTATGAATATTAAGCCTTATCATCTAACTGGATAAAACAGTGTAACGAACCTCTATCAATTCAAAAGACCTATTCGATGGTATGGTCTTCATGTGCGGTACTCGGCTGCACCCACAAGTGCGTCAGTACTCAGCGTTCCTGCTATCACTTGATCGTGGAAGAGAGGCGCGGAAGAGAGGTGCGTGGGGAGGGGGGAGTCCCTCTAAGCAGTCTCTGCTTTTCCATGCTTGACATTTAGTATGTTGTCAAATCGTACGAGGCTATCACAAAGGTGTTTGAGTCATCTTAATCTACAAGCGAGTCTTCTCTGTTTCCGGTTGCCATCAAGTACAAGCACCGTATAACATCCGCGCTTTCACGAGAAGTATGCATATTCAACAACATACTACCCTAACACAACGCGCACGTAAAAGTCATGTGCCTATACATCATCCTTCTTGGCCTCGTTCCCTAACCGCCTCTCAATGGCTGACAATCTCTCACTGAACCGATCCATACTCACCCTCATCGCCTCTAAATTATCCGCTTCTCTCTCGCGCGCAACTATCTCCCTCAATCTCAGCTCGTGATCCAGTTTCACAGCTTTAGTCCGGAGTGCACGATCTTTCTGCCGTTCCACTATCTCTTCAGCAAAGCGCTGCTCCACATCCCACCTACTCTTGTCGAACATTCGTTTGCGTAACTCGCGCTCAGCCTTCCTGTCGGTATACTTGCGTTCGCTCGCATCGTACTCATTCTCGGTGCTTTTCCTTCGTACATTCCTGCCACTATCGCTAACCAAGTCTTCATTCGTAGCCCTGCCAGAGGGGCTATGTACCACACTGATCCGGCCCCCATCCCGATACACCTCTGATCCCCCTGTATTGTCTAAATTCGTTCCCTTTACCTTGGCCACTGTATATCTCATGCGCTTCTCCCCTCGTCGGTCACCCGCATAGGCTATGTCCCCATTAGCACCTCTACTGTTTTTGGCATGGCTTCCAGGGTCATTCCTGTCGCCGTATGCACCTGCAGTACCTGCTTGGCCTGACTTCTTACTACCACCACTCGGTGAGTGTGAGTGCGAGTGCCATTTTAGATTCAGGTTCGAGCCCTGTCCCTTAGCTTGTTCCTCAGTCTGGGCCTGTGCTTGTGCCTGAGCTTGTACTTGTGTGTGTGAGCTTGTAGGTACGTATGCATATGCATGCGCGTGCAGGTGCGCTCTGCGGCGCTTAGCGGACTTCTTTCTCCTTGTACCGCCCACTGTGGTTGTCAAGGTAACGTTCTTCCCAAACGGTATGCCAGACGCTGACAGGGCAGGCTCCAACTGCATACTATTCTCACTATCATCAGTCCCTACTTCTCGCTCCGTATTGTCCTCAGTCTTGCTTTGTATGCCTCTATCTGCACTACTGTCTGCAGTTTGTTCCGTAAGTTCGTCGTCTATCCTGTAATCCACGGATGTATTCTGGCTCAGAATCCTGTCACTGACCCCAGCTTCAAGCGCCCCCTCCCTCTCAATCCCCTTCTCATTCGCCATATCCGCCGAAATTGCAACCAGCAGCCTTCGTCTCTCTGCTACTTCAGCAATCGATCCACTTAACTTCCCATTCGCATTGTACTTGTCCAGGACATTCTGGAATCTGTTCTTGCACGTGTCCTGTGTAGACTGCACCCGCCCGTCACCACCACAGCTCAGATTAAATTTTTTACTCACCTCATCCCATGAGCGCGCTACGTACCCCCGAGCGGCCAAGTACGGTCTCACATCCAGTATCAGCGACAACAGCTTGTTGTCCATGTCTGGTGTGAAATTAACCCTTCGCTTGCGCATCTTCGGGGATTTCTTGGCATCGGTCGCCTCTATAATTGACGACGTGTCCAGTATATCGTCATCGTCATCGTCTTCCTCATCTACCACCTCTTCTTCCTCGTTGCTTATTTCCGCACGCCCCCCTTGATCACCTTCCGATGTTGATTCCAAGTCTAGATTATTATCGTAGTCGTCCTCGTGCTCTATCTCCATCTCTGGATTCGACGAATCACCCGAGACATCGTCCTCACTACTTTCCTTCTCACTCTCTTTAATGACCTCACTCTTGTCACCGTTGCTGTTAGCACCAGCAAACACATCCTTTGATTGTACCGCTGTGCTATGTTTCCTTTTAATCGCGGCGTCCTCACTTACTTTACTACTATCAGTGGTACCCCTACCTTTGTATGTTCTGTGTTTTTTTATATCGGCAGGGTCAGGGGGTTCCTCATCGTCTTCGCCGTCATCGGATTCCGAGTAAACACCCACACTCCCAGCCGCCGAGCCAAACCTTCCAACCTTTGCTCTCTTTGTTATACTCCCATTGGTCTTAATGTCAGTGTCTGGCTGTACCCAGCCCGACTGTTCTAAGGTGTGTGCACCGTCGTCTGCCGACGCATCAGATCCATCCCCGCTGCGTACAAGAGGCCCACGTCTGCGCTTAGGTTGTGAATTTCCTCGTGCCACAGCCATTATATGGCTTGTGCTTTTACTTAGAGGTGCTACTATGGCTTCTCATACATTCAGGGCCGACTAACTACTTGACGACACAATATGGACGAAGAAACAGGACCCGTATGTAATAACTAAACCTACTCAGATATGGATACAAAGACTACAATGATAAATAAATAAACGTGAAAGCACAACCAGATGGTCAATATAGGCAAGTTATCCACAACTCGCGTATGCATGCACGCTATCAAACTCAGATTCGTCGTATGTTATTTG